AAGGTTTTATTGTGCATGATATGTTATGAACTTACAATCATAATGGGTGATTAAGAGAAGATTTTTGTACTGTGTATCTATGTGCAGATGTTGGCATTGTTAGTATACTAGTCTCATTGTGTTGTATCTATTCGAATTAATATTTGTTGTTTGCTTGACATGCTTTGAATTAATATTTATGCTTATGTTCTAAATTTATATGTATTATGCTATGTTCTAATTTGTTTTTGAGGTTTGTGTTGTGGCACAATCGGTATAATGAGGGTGAATATATTTTGTTGCACGTGTACAGTAATGGGTGGTTCAGGTTGTTCTATTTGGATTGTTGTATCATTGAGGAGTCATAGTTGTGCTGTGTTACATGTGTATATGTAGGAGCTTGCAAGAGAGTTTGAGTCTAGGTCAGTAAGGGCCATGTGTGTTCATGTGCTGTGTACATATCGTGAAGATGTTGCAACTATTGGGCTGTTTTGGTATGCGTGTGAGGCTGCAAGAAGTTTGCTCTAATGTGGCTGCACTTTGGGCAGCGAGTGCAAATGCTATAAGAGTGTTGTAGAGTGTTAAATGAGTGTGTTAAGTGCAAAACAGGTGGCTAGTTGTTGGGCCTGTTTGATGAGTTACCTAGTTTGTAAAGTTGTAGGTTGCATACATAAAACAATTGACACAACAATAAGATATGATTTAGTAGTTTATATTAACCAAAAGGAAAAGAACAAGTAAAAAGTAAAAGTGAATGAGCTGAAGATTAGAACATAGGAAGTTTAGAACATGAGAATAAAAAATTAGAACATTGGGTTAAGAGTTTCGTCCAAGATCTTGTGAGAGCTTGTGGTGCCATGAGGTGTTGGGGTGTCGGCTTTGGTTTGAATTTCAGGCTTATTGCCTTGCCTCCTAACTTTAGGAAAGCTCAAAGTATAAGAATAAAATTTAGAACATAAAGAAAGCTCACATTATAAGAATAAAATTTAGAACATAAGTAGAAAAAAAAATGAGAACATAGTTAAAACACAGGGGAAATTAGAACATTGGTTTAGAACATAGGATAAATCATAGAAAAATGAGAAAAAAAAGGGTTTAAATCATAGGTGATTAAAACATAGGGGAAAAAACTTTGGAACATTGGTAGAAAAAGTTTAGAACATTAGGAAAAAAAAAATTAATAAGAACATTGTTTTAGAACATAGGATAAAAATTTAAAACATACGAAGAAAAATTTACAACATAGTAAATAATTAGAACATAGAAAAAAAAAAATAGAACATAGGCACAAAGAATTTAGACATAAAGAAAAAAAATTAAAACATAGGCAGAAAAAATTAAGAACATACAAAAAAAAAATTAAAACATAGGCAGAAAAAATTTAGAACATACAAAATAAAAAAAAGAAATTTTTTAGAACATGGGAAAAAAAATTTAGAACATAAGAAAAATTTTAGAACATACAGAAAAATTTAAAGCATAAAAATTTAGCACATAGAAAAAAAAAATTTAGAACATAGGTAGAAAAATTTAGAATGTAAGAAAAATGATTTCGAAAATAGAAAATAAAAATTTAGAACATAATAAAATTTTTAGAACATAGAAAAAAAATTAGAACATAGACAGAAAAATTTGAAACATTAAAAAAAAAAAAAACCGATTTCAAACATAGGAAAAGTAGAACATAGGCAGAAAAAATTTAGAACATAAGCTGAAAAATTTTAAAACATAGGATAAAAAATTTAGAACATAAGTAAAATTTTAGAATATAAGGAAAATGTTTAGAACATGGGAAAAAATAGAAAAAAAAATAATTAGTTTATAGGTTTAGAACATAGATAAAAAATTTTAAATAGATTTGGAACATAGAAAAAAAAAATTAGAATATAGGAAAATTTAGAAATAGGTTTTAGAACATAAGAACAGAGGTAAAGTTTGAACATTCATATATTTTAAACAGAAGAAAAAAAATTAGAACATAAGTTTAGAATATAGAAAAAGGTTTGGAACATAGGTTTAGTGTATAAGAGAAAAAAATTAGGACATATGAAATAATATTTAAAACATAAAAAAAATATAGAAAATAAGTTTAGAATATAGGAATTAAATTTAGAACACATGTTTAGAACATAATGTTAGAACATATTCAGTAATTTGTAGAACATATGCAAATCAATTAGAACATACGGAGTATGTTATTACCTATTAGTTCAATTAGTAGAGCACTATGCAAATACGTAGGGATGTAGGTTCTGTTACTACATAGGTTCTCTTTTAAAATAACTAAAAAAAACTTCAAAAGTAAACCATAATAACTCAAAAGTAAATGAATAAAAAAAAAGAATAAAATGAAATTTTTTATCAAATTAGCACCACTGGGAGTGGGAGCAGTATTTTGGGCGCAAAATCATTTTTACTTGAAGGAATAAAACGGAGGGCGGATGACGGTATGAGTATACGGGTGTGGGATGAGGCATGGCTGCTTGAGAACATCAATTTTATTGTTCCTACATCGAACTTGAATGCTGATCCTGAGCTTAAAGTTCTGGATTTAGTCGATTTTGAGAGCATGCAATGGGAGTCTTGCCATCAAGGAAAGGTTATGCTATTGTCACTGATAGTAATTCCAGGGATGTGGGGCTGCTAGCGAGACTATAATACATGCTTTGATCTCGGGAGCTGCTCACTTATGGTATTGATGCTTCTAATATTTCCTGTTCTGTTCGGCTGTTGTGGATTGCAAATAGGCGTGAAAAAAACGAATTAACGTGTTAAGAGATGATGCAGGAAGTATTATAGTTGCTGCTGTACAAAGAGTGAAGGCAAGATGGGATGTGGAGCAAGCTGAAATTGCTCCAAAGCTATATGACTTTGGCGAGGCTTGATTTGCGTTAATAAAATTGCCTGCCTAATGTTTCCTTCATAAGAAAAAAAAATTATACGAGCAACAAATTGGCTTGAAATGATTAATGACTATAACTTTGTTACAACTAATTATACTCTCATACAAACTCTTGTCTCTACATTAGTACATTACATAAATGAACCTACGCGGGATTCCACCACATTTTGTGCATTTGCACAATGCTCTACCTATTAAGCTAGTAGGTTAATGTATATAAATCATTTGAAAAAAAAGAAAAACTACTGAAAAGTAAATCAAATTGGTATTGATACAAGCCAAAATATGGATTGAAGTGATTATTTGCTATGAAATCTTTGTTGCAACTAAACACATAGACATAATACCCAGATTTCTACTTGTGTACAAACCCAGATTTCTACAAATCAAAGCAAAAAAGAGCAAACCAAAAAATCAAATGCAATTAGAAACCTCAATTCAGAACACCAAGCTGATATGAACCAGACCTGGAGTTTAAAGCAATATCATTTGGGGATTTCATGCATTAAACAAGAAATTTACACGATGGCACATTAACTCCCAATATTCATTCATATGTGCAATGAGACAAGTTAGTTATCAATATTAGTCATTATACAAGTCATGACTCACAATGGCACAAGTTGTAAGCTATTTTTCAGTATTTTGTGTTGAAGATAATGCTCCCAAGTCAAGTTAGTTATCCAAACATTGGGCTCTTAGCTTGATTATAGGAGATTGTTTCCTTATTTATCAAGGTTTAATACTATATTTAGTAGTCATGAGTCATGACTAGTATATAATACTTAGCCTTTACCTTGTAACTTTAAGCTTATCAATATACTTGGATTAATCTTCTACATGGTGTCTAAGCATTGAAGATATATATCTTATTCTCCTTACTTTATTCCGCTGCTACAATTTTATTTTTTTCTTCCATGGCAACTTCCAATCAGTCTCTTATTCCTAATGATGACCCGACAAAAAATGCAAAAAATAAAAAATTGAACATTATTCATTGAAAAAAACGAATAATGTAGAAGTATAACGAAAAAATTACAGAAATAACCATATGATTTCATCAAAATCGCAATAATAATCCACAACTGTAGTAATAATCGTAAAATTTCAGCAAATTCTCAAAAATAAACCCAAAATATGATAAAAATCGCAATAATAATCGAATATTGAAATAAACTATATAAAAACAAAATTTTCTACTCAAAAATCAATGAAAATATGAACTGAATAACAAAAACAAACACAGAAATTAAAAAAATAAAAATAAATAAAGAATAGAAATTATAAAATTGAATAACAAATCCTAGTTTTTCATCGTACCTTGAAATAGACCAGAAACACGATATTCGGGAAAATTTAATGAAGAATTCGAACAAAATTCATGAATATTAACAAATTTTATGGAGAATTTGATGAATCTTAACAAGTTTAATGGAAAAATTGATGAATCTGGCATGAATGAGAGGAATTGCCAACGAAATTGATGAGAGAAGAGAAAGAAAGACTTGTGGCTAGAGAGAGAAAATGACGTAAAAAACGAAGGCATTAAGTGTTCACCTAAAATTACAAAAATGCCATTACTATCATATTCATGTTAAGCGGTTAGATCTACTCTAATCCAATGGTCTGCATTAGTTCTTATATATTACCTCTAATAACTTTTATGTGCAACTTTGGAGTATTATTTAAGAGATATAAAATATTCCAAAATTGCATATAAAAGTAATCGGATATAGTAAAAGAGTGTTCTTATATAGAGGAGGGTTCTTATATAAAATTAAGATCACGTGAGAACCAAGTCTTATAATAGGAACTAAGAACTCATCTAAGCCATTGATTCATTTGATCTGATGGTTGAGATGTTGTCTGCCTTTACTGAGTAATGACATTTTTATAAATTTGTTGAACTAGCAGAATGACTACCCTAAACGTCCCTTTTTCCATGATCACTTTCTCTCTCATCAATTCATTTTCTCTCTCCTCCTACAAACTCTCTCTTCTCCTATGATTTCTCTAATCCCATTCACGCACTCTCAATTTTGCAGATTTTCATCTTCCCATCTTCGTGCATCGTTCTAACAAGTTTATGGGCAAGTAAGTTGATTCAGTTGTCATTAGTATTGCTTTCTATAATTTAATTCGATTTTGAAACCATATTTTGCGATTTTGATTTCGAAATTAGGGTTTTCCCAATTATTTGTTTGAGTATTTTTAGTATCGATCAAGTTTAAAATTAGGGATTTTGCTATTTTTGTTTGATTAATGTGTGTTTTCTCTTTGTTTTTAATCAGATCAATATTTTGTGTTGTTTATTTGTTACATGGGATTTATGATATGTAAGTATGTATCCTAAGCTTAAGGTTTTCTTACTATGTTTATATATACTTTATAGATTATTTTATTTACTTTTGAGATTGTTTGGTTTACATATGAGTAATTTTTTATTAGTGTGAAGTTTTATATAGACTAGCCTACAAGCTCAATTTTTCATGTTGCCTTACTTTGCATGACTTATTTTCTCTATACAATTGGTAATACTTAAATAGATTGATAACGCTATTCTGTTCAAATTCAGAATATTTTGGTTTACCTAATCTTTACTTTGCATTTATTTTCTTGTATAATTCTTCTTTATATAAATGCAGTTAGGGGTTAGCAAAGAAAAGGTGATGACCATTACACAAGTTGTTCAAAGATATGGAAATCTTAGTGGTTTCGGTAAATATTCTGACCTTGCTAGTCATTTTCTCCAACTTATTTTGTGGTTTGTATTATCATGTCCTCTGTTTTAGAGTAGGCCATTATCATGTATAAATGCTAGCAAGGAGATATAGTCACATGTTTGATCTTGCTTGATGTACTGGCATAGATGAGGGTAGTTCGAGTTTTCTGTTTGATCTAAAAAGCGTTCTTGCTCTTCTTGTTTCATATTAGAACATTTACTTAGTCTTATGCCTTTCTTTTATTTGAGGGTTTGATTTGTTGGTGTTTTATTATGTATGTGTATATTGGTATTTTGTAATGTGGGAGTGGACCGAAGGTCTAAAGGTTTAGCGTATAATTTTTGGTAAAGAGTGGTTACATAGCTATGATATGTTGGTTTATAGCTCCTATATGCTTATTATAGGACTAGCTTGCTGTGATATTATTTGTTATTTTCAGAATATAATTTGAACTATATTATGAGCTATTAAGCGACTGAAGGAAAGCCTACTGTCCATAAAAGCTAAGAAGGTGGCTTTGTGGTGCCTTCATTTTATTTCTGTCTTCTATTTGAGGCTACTCGTATTATTGTTCGACAAGCACCCACATTAATATAAATTTATGTGAATATTCGCTACTGCAGGACCAATTACCTGTGCTATACTATTCTACAATTTTTTTTCTTTTTCTTTTTTTCTTTTTCTTTTTTTTTTTTACTTTTGTTATATTTTGATTTACCTTAGAGTGATTTTTCTTTACTTTGATACACTAGCCTACTTGCTCAACGGGTAGAGCATTGTGCAAATGCACAAAGATGTGGGTTCGAATCCCACGTAGGTTCATTTGTGTAATGTGGCTACTAATTCAATCTATACAAAGTTGGAGGTGGTGGCATTTTAAGGTGTGATAAAGGTATTTGGCAAATAGGTTATGCTATGAATTTTAATTCTATGTCTGCAGCTTCAGCTGAGCTTCTGACTATAAGGGAGGGTCTCCTTACTTCCTGGGACAGAGAAATCAAGTTCTTGGAACTAGAAACAGTTGTGGAGGCTTTAGGAAAAATGTTGAACAATCCTAACTCCTTTAGAGACCATGGTCTGGGAAACATTATAAGGGATGTGGCTGAGTTATTGCAGAGAAACTGGTCAGTGACTGTTTTACATGCTAGCAGAACAATTAACTTCGTGGCTCACAGACTAGCACCTATTGGAAGGACTAAAGTTCAACTTGGTGAAAGGGTGCTATTCCACTCTCCCCCTGCTGAGATCTTTGACACTTATGCTGCTGAAACACCAACGATTCCTATGGCTTAATCCTGATGATGACGTCTGCTCAACACCTTTTGCTCATCTTGTCTTTCTCTGCAGGTCTTTTGTTGGCATTATGTTGGCTTTAATTTTTTGTTGCTTAGTTTATTTTATGTCTTTCCTAAGTAGTAGGATGCTGGTTTTTTGAATCTCATTGAACAATCTTTTGTTTAGGTTGGTTGTTGTCACCATGATGTAATATATAATCTATTTCCCTTTAGCGTTAAAAAAAAAAAAAAAAAAAAAAAAAAAAAAAAAAAAAAATTGTTTTGATGTTTGAAAATCTGATTTCTAAATTTTTAGTTACTTTTGTTATTGTTTTATTTACTTTAAATATGAAAACCTTTACTATGACCTCATTCTTCTTTTATATTTGATCACTCTTCATGTTGTAGAGTTTTGGCTCATTTTATAGATAGTTGAAGGTCAATGATGTAGGGTACCCATGAAGATCGACTATGCATTCCTTTGTGTCATTTGATTATACATACACTAACTTTTATTATTTGAATAATTACTTTTAAGTGTTTATTATTTACTTCTGGGATATTTGATCTACTTTTGATTTCTTGTCGAACTATTCTGATTTATTTAAGAGATATTCTAATTTTGAAATATTTTGATTTACTTTATAGTATTCTACATCGACTTTTAAGATATATTGGAGGCATGTATAACAAATTTCTTATTCTCTTTCAAAGTATAATCTCACAAGAAATATTTTAATTAACTTTTAAGATAATTTAATTTACTTTTAATATATTTTAATGTACTTTTGAGTTTTTCTTTTTACTCTTGAGATGTATTAATTTACTCTTTTGTATCAATTGGCGACTTTAAAGTACCATTTTCTGAATTATGGTAAAAAAACAAAGGCGGAGTCATTTTATAAATTGCTTATTCATGTAATGCTTGCATATTTTGATTTACTTTTGAGGTATTTTGAATAACCTATGTAGGATTCGAACCTACATCTCTATGTATCCGCATAGTGCTCTACCACTTGAGCTAATAGGTTTACTTTAAAGTCTTTTTTATTTACTTTAATTTCTTTTTCATTTTACTTCAGAGACAACTGATATAGCTAGGAATCTACCTTTCTAATCTTATTCGTTCTCTAAATTTTAAACCCCAAAAGAATTGGTGGGATAAAAAAAATATATCCATTACAATCATATATCTCTCCGATCCTAACCTTTTTCAAAAAAAAAAAAAAAAAAAATATAACATATCTAGGAACTCTCTCATTTAAGATATTCCCACCACAATCACAAATTTGCATGACAACAATATCAAACTGCAAGCCAGGACACCTTTGCCTTCACTGTTTGATCCAAATTATGTGCCATAGAACATGCTTGCTCACACACTAGAATACAGTCCAAAGCCCCAAAGGTAATTACATTTAAAGCATGCCTGCTCACACACTAGAAGACAATCCCAATGTATTTACCTTAAAGCATAAACATGCAATATAGATTGCAGGCATATTGTTGATTTTGCATCAATTTTGTGCCAATCTAATGAGCATGTTCACGTACAAGTCAATCCGATGAGGAAAATCTTGACGGTTTTGAGGTGAATGTTTACAAGTCAACTCTTGATCAAGTTTCAGTTATACAACCTGATTCTCACGCTCTCACTTGCTGCTCAAATGTTAGCAAGGTAGATAAGGCTTGCCTCTGAGAGCATTTAGAGGAAAATTGCACTAGTAGTTTATGATGTTATAATTTAATGCCAAATTGTTCATGCTCTGACAATTCAGCAGTGTTTCTCAACTTGTTTCTGAATAATTTGACAGTAGTTTATAATTTTCTGAAAAAATCTTATATTTCTAATTTTAGTTGGAGTCTTAATTATATGTTACTGCAAAATACTTAATATACAAATTGATTTACATTTACTTTTTATCTACTTTTTACAATTTACAATATCATGAATTTGTATTACAATTTGCAAACAATAAAAAAGGATGAGTAAGCACTAGTTAAAAAAGTTTGCACAAAATACAAAAATCACAACATGAATCCTTTAAAGTTGGAAAGAAGAATAAAATCACAACATAATACTTTTGAGACTAATTGCATGGTTTACTTTGACTAATTTTCTATCTACTTTTTGAAATAACAGAAACAATAACCTTTCAACTTAAATCAATTTGTAAGCAAGATACATGGATAATTCTCAGACATTAAAAAACCTCCAAATTGTTTAATTTTATAATTAGTTCAGTTGGCAGCATCAAACATCAATATAGGTAGCTACCATTGGGATTTAGGCAAATCAAATAGGGAGGTCAAAGATTCGTAGTTGAGCATCTCAAATCAAAATTTCCTTACAACATATTTCATAATTCGCACAAATTCATACACAAACTATCCAAATTTGAAAGCGTAATTTGCAAATAAAATCGACAGAAAAATACCGCTCCTAATTTTATAAATCTAGAATTCACGAACTAGATTTATAAACCTAGAAATATAGCAAATGGAACTAAAATTACAATAAAAATATGGAAAATTTTCAATGGTAGCCCTCTACTATTGCTTATTTCCAATGGTAGTCAACTTTTATTTCGATTATCTTTGGTAGCCATATACTTTTAAAAATTCTCAACCGTAACCTTAATGATATTTTTCCGTTGAATCTAACTAACAACTCAACCACAGTTAACTATTTCAAATTAAAAAAAATAAAAATAAAATAAAATACTTAATCATGGTTAGTTTTCTAACAATTAAATTATGTTTTTTTTAAAATAAAAAACAAAAACCACCTCTTCCCCAACTAGCCCAACTACCCTCTTCCCCTCCCCTCCCCTCCACAGTCGGCGGCCCGCGACCGGTGCCCAGGCTTCCCTCCCTTTCCCCCACCTCGATACCCACCCCCTTCGATTTTCCCTCACCCCTGAACCGCCCCTCCCCTTTCCCCCCACCCTAAAACGACCCCCTTCCCCTTCCTTACCCACCTTGAAACCAACCTAAACCCAATTCCTGAATGTTCACCAACGACAAACGGCAAGCAGAGAGAATAGGCAAATGCGACACACCTTCAATAACTCATCATCCAATTCCAAAATCCCACTATTGTTTGCCACCTAAATAAAAGTGACGAATGAGATTTAAGAATTTTGTCACGTAAGTAAAAACAACGAATATTGATTTATTAGGATTTAATTTATTTAAAAACTAAAAATTATCTTTTAAAATAATCATCTTTAGATATAGGATTTATATACCTACTATTATAAGATAAATTTTAATAGTGTTTATGATAAGAAATAAAAATTATTCCTTAATTATAATTAAATTAAAATTTGTGATATTTACCATTATAAATTGACGCATCATATGACACCAACAAAATTTCGTATCAATACAAAACCAAACCAAGAAAATTTTGTGTCATTAATTTTGTGTCAGTTTTATTAAGTCATCAATGGCTGGATAATTCTTAGCTTGATTATTAAAACCCATGTTTAAATGTATATTTGTGATTATTGCTTGAATTGTGTTTATTTGGGATACTTAATGATTATATGGTTATGTTTTGTTTACTGAATTTTATTTTTACATGCAGATCTAATTTAATCAGAGAATTATATTCGAGCAAAAATCTTTGGAATATCAAAGTACTAGTTTCTCGCCTGATGATCCTATTGGATGAGGAGGTATTATATCTTTCTAAATCGTTTACATTTATTTAATCTTTTAATGAACCTTTTAGTTTTTATCAATTAATTTATGATTAACACAAATTTTTTGTGATTTAGGTAGCTTAATTAAGTAATAAAATTAACTTAATTTTTTATTTTTAATTACAGGGTAATTACATTCATGCCTCAAGTAAAGTCAACTTTGTTCTACAATTTTGTTCAAAATTGATTGAAGGAAAAGTTTACTCCATTAAATACTTTTCAGTCGCTACAAATAAGAAGCAATATCGCACGCATTGTAAGCAACAACAAAATAATGATTAAATTTTCCAAAATACTATTGTTTGGGCGATTGGGGACAATGAAAAAATTCCAATGCATGGATTTAATTTTGTATAATTACAATTTTTAGATTAATTTCACAACAATTATTCACTTTCTGGTAAATATTTTAAATTATTTTATAAAACTATAATGATTAATTTTATATAATTATATTTTTGCTAACATGTTCAATTTATCCACTTTTATTAGATGGAAGAGATATGGGTGTGAACAAAGTTGGTGATCCTATCGAAATTTTTTTTAATACAAATTTTTTTACATCGAAATATTACATCTAATAACTATTATTTTTAATGTTCTTATCAAAATATTTATTAGGGGAATAAAATACATAAAATTAATAAAAAATTATCTTTAACAAACAATAGCAAAGTAATAAAAAATATTATGAGTATGATCTAGTTACAAAAATTATTTTTTCGAGCTTTTATGTATAAAACACCGTGGGATATTAGGATTTAAATTATTAAAAAAAAATAAAAATTATCTTATGAAATTAATGGTTTTATCTAAATACCAGATTAATAAGGTGTTTTTTTCATAAAAAAAATTTAAAGCTTATAATGCAGTAAAAAACTTTACCATCTTTAAATATTTTATGTTTAAAAAATTGAAAAAACAGATAATTTGTTAGAGATCACAAGAAATATACAAAATGATATATAGATTTGAGGGTTTAATGTCAAGTGTAAAAAGCAACGAATAATGATTTAGGATTTAAATTATTTTAAAAATAAAAAATTATTATCATTTCACATTAAAGATTTTATCCTAAAATGTATCAATGAAATATCATATTTACAATTTTTTTTTTTTGAAAGATATCATATTATTGTCATATGACTAACAACAACGAATAAAATACAAAACAACAAATAAATTAAGTCGCATTATAAATTACATTAAAAAAAATTATACTTCTGTAATTGGCTATATCATTTTAATTAAATTATTATTTTAAATCTCATTCGTCACTTTTGTTTAGGTGGCAAAAGAATTTTTTCATCTATGTACCAAATTTGCGATGCACGGTTTTTTCATCTATTTTTAATTATTTGATTTATAGTATTTAATAATTTTAGACAACAAAAGTTTAATATTTTTTTTTCCTATAATTTATAATGAATTTATTAAATATAAATAAATTGTAAATATGATATTTTTTCCGTTGTATAAAATCTTTAATGTGAAATGATAAATTTTTAATAATTTAAATCCTAAATCATTATTCATTGTTTTACCATTTCTTTTATTTC